GAGTAAAACTAGTATCATAGCCCAAAAGTAAACTGTATCGGTGTATTCTCTTTTTGCCTGCACTTTAATTGGCTATAAGCGGATTAGGATTAACAGTCCTGCACAATTATAGTCTGTTCAAGTAAGTGGAGTTCATTACCGGCACCTTGAAGAAAGAATTTCTACATTTCTACTACAGACTATAGTTTTAATCCCCATTGTTGGAAGGATTAGTACGGTCCAGTAATTTTAATCCTTAAACAATACGTGCAGGCAAAAAGAGAACACCCCACTGGATCTTCTCACGTTTAACACAATGTGCCTTAATAACAATTGCGAATTTGTATGGGGACACCTCACTGTGCCTGCACCTATTGTTGGAGGTAGAGATTCAAGTCGGCCGTGGTAGATAGGATAACGATAGGGGGATTAACTATAGTCTGTTGCAGTAAAGTAGACCTCAACTCCTGAAATACTCTGTTCACATAATTTATTCATGTACATGCATATAATAACATCCATAACATAACATATTTTTTCAATTGACATTCTATCTATTTAGAGAATGTATTCTCTGTTCACGTAATTTACTCATATACATGCCTATAATAACATACATTTACATTTAAACCCCAACCAAATGCGACACAGCATCAGCATACTCTATGGCACTTTTCCTCCTGGTCAACAAGTCCTTCTTTTCATTTAAAATTTTTGTGTCTAGATTCAGGTACTTTCTTCTCATTGGTGCCATTCTACCACCAACCTGAATCTGGAGAAGAACAGTCACGGTAAGGGACTGCTCCTGCTTGGTCATATCCACGAACTTGTATATGTTTGGATAGTTGGTACCTAACTTGTTTAGCTTCGAGTGCCAACCTTCCAGGTGGATGGTGGTCCTGGAACCAACTGTATGAAAGTGGTTCCAAATACTACGCCCATCCGCTTCGACCCACTGTTCGGTTACGTAGTCAGTGAATTTCACAATCCTAGCATCTTCAAGGTCAACATTCTCAAGGACATTCAACCAGATGTCGTCTATGTCACGAGGATGGATGAAAGACAGTGCAGAGGCATGACGGATGAGTCTATTTACACTGGGGTCATTGTAAAAGAGTGTCTGGAGACCACATGTATGAGCATTTCCCCAAATCGCTTGACGGTAGTGGAACATGCATCCTTTCAGTTGGCAATTGAACACATTTCTGGCAGCATTTTGGGCAGCGTGTTCAAAGTCTGTGAAGATGGTCACTGGTGACAAAGGAATGTTGTTATCGGCAGCTTTCTGTTTAGCAATCTGGAAAATCTCCTCATAAGTTGCCAGGCGCTTATCTGGAAGAAGTCCATAAACTAGAGGAAACATCTTATCATTAACAGCAGCATGGATGGTATACAGTTGCTGGTAGATGGCAAAGGTACCGTCGCTGAAGTGGTTATCTGCCATGGAGAGGCGTCTCAAGTTGTCAATGGTTGTAAAGATGAGCATCTTTTCGTCTTGGTGAAGTAGGAATTCGTCGCCAGAAGATGTTTGAGTGTAGACTGGAGGAAGTTGTACGTCTGATGAGGTGCGGGGTGACCTTGACCGGTACAAACTGGCATGAACACTGTAGTAGGTTGGCACATCTTTGATCACATCATCTCCTTCATTGGTGCGTTAGCCTGATAAAAGAACAAAAGAACAATATATATGTATATATTACAACAAATATATACACACTCACACACAAATAGTGATGTAATTTAGGGGTTTGGTGAATTATGCAATTATGGAAGCATAATTAATCAAGTAACATATTATTTTTAAAATTCAACTTACCCATCAATACTTCTTGGTAGATTGTTGGAACAGGCTTGCTCTCATTTCGAACTTTAGATTTCAGGTTGGATAAGAATTCCTGAATGACAATATCTTTGTCGTCTCCAGTATGGTTGTGAATATCACAATATTTTGTGACGAAGTGGTTGGATGTGTTTATCGTTGCCGGACAGTTCTTTCTACATCAACGCCAGTGCACAGTTGTGTTTCTCCTGCTCTTAATTCTAAATCTGTGACCATTATGAACAAGGTTCTGTCCACCTTGGGAGTAAGCAACAAACCGAACATTTACTTGCACATTTGCCATTTTGCAATGACCAGTGTGAGCAGTCCAAACAATTTATATACATGGCAACACTGGCACTTACCACTCAAAACTACTCACTTATAAACATATGATTTTAATCAATGACATTGTTTAAAAGTGTTCATCCATCTGGTAGCCATCATAATTTGACATTAATCAAGCAGTGTTCACTCTGTGAGAACATGCCAACTTTAATTTAAACACGCTATAACCAGAAATGCAGTGAGGACTTGCCCTCATTTCGCCTAGACCTCATATCGCATACAATAATTATAATGGCCAGTTCTACCACCCCTATCATAATAATGAGTATTACCCAACAGGCTGTTAACATTAAACGAATGCATCTTGTACATTGTCTGTGTGACATGTTTTGATTGTATAAACATAACTTAGTTATCTTCTTTCTTTGATCAACCATACATGTTTTCATCGTATAAACATGACTTACTCAGCTTCTTAATTAGGATACTTTGATCAACCATGCATATGTTTGTGTAGTATAAACATGACTTACTCGTCGGTCACCATCGGCGACCAAATCACACCCACTACTCCGCACACCCACCCCCCTGTTGAGAATGCAGATCACATCAGAATGATGGCCAGAATGAACGAAATTGTCAAGACTGACATCACTCCTGTGCAGCACATCTACAATGCTGAAATCAACCAAGCCGACGAAAACATAGCAGCCACCATGCCGTCCTTTGCCACTGTACAAGCCGCCGTGTACAGACATAGAGCCAAGTCGGTTCCGCCAGTTCCTGATTCCAGAGCCAACGTCAACCTGGAAGATCCGTGGACCAAGACAGAAGATGACAGAGGCTTCCTGTGCGTAGATGACGGCGTAGATGACAGACTACTGGTGTTTGCAGCCACTGAGATGTTGGAAATACTGAGTGAAGCTGACATCATGTTTATGGATGGTACTTTCTTTGTTTGCTCTAGCTTGTGGTTGCAGGTGTACATTGTTCATTGTCTGGTGGAGGGCAGGATGTATCCTGTGGCATTTACACTGCTCCCAAACAAGACCAAGCAACCTGCATTAAACATATATTGTATGAAACGGGTTTTAATTGTGTTTAGGATTCTCAGTCGTTTCCAAACATACCTTGGTTAAAATTCAATGTTAAATAAATTTTGTTACACCAATGTAATCAAAAATTGGAATGGAATGGATTAGGTGCCTGACTCTGAGGGTGAGAGTTCGAATCCCGGATGGCGCTCAACTAAAAAAAAGTACTAGAATTTGTACTTTACTAAGAAAGTGTAATCCCAAATATAACATATGTTATATTTGACCACTTTCTAAATGGCATTGTGTAATCATAACTATATTATATATTGGGTGACGTGTCAGGTAAACATCATCTTAGACAATCCGCTACCATCGCGCACTCCGATCTCAGGATATGCAAGGATTCAACAAAACCGGCACCGAAGACAATTTATACGCCTTGCACTGAAAAAACCCAAAGTTTACAAAAGAAAAGAAATTACGCTTGTAGATTTAATCGACATCGGAACCCCATACAAAACCACCTGTTACGATCTCGTACTTACTGACGACGATAAATGGATAATGCTCAAAACTATCGACTGGTTAGTAAATACCACCCTTACGAGCCCATGCATGGTTTTAGATGATAATGATTATATAATCTAAATAAAGAAAATAATGGGATTGTTGTTATGTCTCTAACTCAAGATCCTCGGATGATACTCATTACACCCACAAAGGATAAAATAGGCTATATGTTAACAAACCGTTCAGACACTGGTAATAAAATATTTAAATTTAAATTTATTGGAGGAAATCCTTTCATGATGGAACCAGGCTCTACACTTTATTGAAGCCTTTTTTAGAGATACCCCAACAGGAGATGTTTCACTTTTTGGCGGGTTAAGAATAAGATGGGGTTAAAAACACAAAAGACAGCATTGTCGTATTAATTGTATATGAAAAGGAACACCCGCCTTTACAAGTCTCGAGTGATTCATTGTTAATGAATATCATCGTATCAGATTTCCAGTTTTTTACTAATCTTATAATGTGTGCCTAATAAGCTATAGAAGAAAAAACAATTCATAGGACGGGAGACAACAAACCCGTCAAGCATTCATCATCAAAACCAAAGAAATAGTTGGAGATTAATTGTTTCCTCGATATCACTAGTATGAATTTATGTGCATAGTAGTATATGGAATAGCAGGTCTATTTTTCCACCACAGTTTTTAGCAATTAGACCAATGTCTATCTATGTGCATAGCAATGAAAGGTCAACTCACTGATCTGGACTACATATACCCAGGGATACTCTACAACAGTCTCATGTGTTCTATGGAAATTGTTTGATTTTCCAGCAGGACAAGGACCCAAAACATCGTTCAAAGCATTCACAGGCCCGGTTTCGGACCCAAAATATGACATTATTAGATTGGACAAGCTGTAGCCCTGACCTACATCAAATAGAAAATGTTTGGGGCCTTATGAAGGAGTGTCAATAAGAAAAAACTGACAAATATTGCTGAAATGAAAGAAGAGGTGGTCCGATATTAGGACAGCATGGACCACGACTTTCTAACTTCTTTGATCAGTAGTATGCCCCACCGCATTGAAGCCTGTATTGCTGCCCATGGTGACTTGACAAAATACTAACTGTTCACCTGTCTTTGAACCTGGACTTATGTTCTGCTAATATTCACATTTAATACGTGAGTAATGAGTGAAAAAAATTAAAAATTTACAATCTTTAAATTCTCAATAATTTCTGGTTGTACTGTAGCATAGTGATTTAGTGAAAAATCACAATTGTGCCAAGTTTCCAGTATTGCCGGTAGTTGTATCAATAACAGTAACAGTAGGAAGAGAGAAAACATCAGAATAAACAAGCATAAAGTTATGAAATATTTAATTCAGTATTTTGATAGGCTTTGGTTACAACTGAATTGACAGTACAGTGAGTAGCATGCAATAATGTCATGAAATACAAATCAAGCAAATGTTTTTTTATCCGAATAAAACCTACATATTTTACAAATACTGCAAGCCATTGCAGGACTGCTGCATTAGCAAAGGCTGAATGACACATTTACATTTGTATTATGGCATGTGTTTTCGTATATTACTGAAACACTATTGTGTACAACAACAAAAAAAGAAAATTCGTTCTCAATGGTATTTGAAGAACCTCAATGTAAACACATGGCACATATTATTGGTTTGTTGCAATATAAGAAAACTTACAATGAAGATGAATGTCTCCACTAACTTGGGGGAAACAACTGCAAACCTTATGCAGATTAATTGCACGAGGATCATGCATCAAACTGCTGAAAAGTATATGTAAATATCGTGCATGTGAACAGCTAGGTTTTTGGTGTAAAGTTTTGATAAGAATTCGCCATTTTTAACCAAGTTTGATCATTTACTGAACGCATGACAATAATCTTTTCAACGTTATGCATTTGTTTTACAATACATCAGTTCATGTATAAACATCACCTTTAAACAGTATGGAATATTTTGCAAAGTTTAGTTTAGAACAGTTGCCTGAAGTAAGTAGCTACATGTACACTAGTGAGTCTAAACTTTTGATGGGGAGTATATATCATGAGCATGTCTTTCTTACAGTAACAGATATTTAATGTCTCACTACTAAATAACGACATGAAGATCATGGAATGCCAGTGTTGAATCTTTGTCAATAACAGATAGTGTCAACAACGTCTAAATGAAAATAAAGTGATAACAATCTACAATGACACACCTACCTGAATAAAAAGTCATAACATTTCTTGGTTGAGTGCAGCTTTCTGGGCTAGGCCTGATCCCAGCGGTGCAATTAACGCATCATAGAGGTCTTGCTCTCTTACTGATTGGTTAGCCCTTCTTTACTACCAAACACCTCTTTGCGATCCCAAGGGAGCTGACAGAGTCTTTAACAGCACACACACACTATACAATCTTTAAGGAGCTGACATGATATTACTACCAAGAGTCTCTTTACGATCCTAAGGGAGCTGACAGGTCTTTAACAGCACACACCCCTTTATGATTTTTAAGGAGCTGACAAGTCTTTCCTACTAAGCACGTTTATGATCCCAAAGGAGCTGACAGATCATTACCAGCTAACATCCCTTTAGGATCTCAAGGGAGCTGACGCATCTTTACTACCAAACGCCCCTTTACGACCCTCAGGGAGCTGACTGGTCTTTATTTCAAAATACCCCTCTACTATCCTTAGTGAGTTGACAAATCTTGACTACCAAACACCCTTTTATGATCCCAAGGGAGGTGACAACACAAACACCCCGTTATGATCCTTAGGGCACTGACACGTCTTTACTGCTAAGTAACCTTTTACGATCCCAAGGGTGTTGACAACTCTTTACTATGAAACATTCCTTTACAATCCTAAGGAAGCTGACAGGTCTTTACTACCAAATGCCCCTTTATGATCCTTATGTGAGCTGACAAATTTTTACCACCAAACACTCTGCTGAGAGTCTCTTTTACAATCCAAAAGGAGCTGACAAATCAAGCAATGGGAACAGTTAGAGGTGGATTCTGAGGTTGGATGTACAAAGCTGGAATCTGTTCCAAATAAAATTGGCAGCTTGATGGATTTAGAAATGGCAGATAAGACTTGCTCTAAAATTCCATCCTGTGGCTGAGATTGTTTGAAAAATATTCAGACATAAATCTGGAGATTTGTCAGATTTTGACTGAAACAAGAAATGCTTCCAAGCTGATTGATCCGGCTCACCATGCTGGAGTTAATAGAAACATGGTGCAGTGATGTGTCTGAATCAGTTTGTTTGGAGGGAAATGTCAATGAAGACAGAAGAACTGTGTGTGTCTCAGTGATATAGATCTGAGATCCTCACTCTCAATTCCATCTGATTCATGTAAAAGCACTTTTTCCAGGGGCTAAAATTCTAGAACTGTGAAATCCTCCATGTGCGCACCCCAAGCTTCCATTCATGACGGTAATATGGAATTGGTCTCATTGGGGTGGTGAATATCCATGGAAAGATAGATATGTCAAATGGTAGAAACAGAAACCAAGAACGTGCCCTTTGATTTCCAGTAGAAGAAACTTTGAGGACTTGTGATGTAGATACACATTACTGGGATCAATTACCTCTGATCTTGACAGATTACCCCAATTTTTCTACCAAACACATGGTGAAGTGTGGAGGTGTTGTTTGTTGAAAGCGATTACATACAAGCCAGGTCCATTGTTCAAGGATCAAGGGTCCTAGATTCCTTACCAGACAGATTTAGGGTCCAGGAAATACAGTTAACTCAATTCAGACAAACAGAAATTCTTGTATTATGGATTTGCTGATAACACTAAAATATAATAGTTGTTTGCATATTACTACAGTTGATCTGTCATGCCATGAGAGTTTAACAATACTGATATGAAAAAAATGATCCATCCGTAACTGCTTTTGTGAACAAAAGTATGCTTGCAGTTGTTTTATTACACTATCATCATGGTCATGTGTTTCTGTAACTTATTCCTTCTACATAAAACTATTCTTATGTTATTGTTTGAGTCAATCAATCTCTGGGTCAATCAATCTCTGGGTCAGCTTGTAGCAAAAACATTGTAACATTTAAGCATAATGAACAAAATACCTGCCTCTTCATGTTTGGGTCTATTCTTTGTTCAGTCCACTGCTCTATGAAACTATTACCTGTGACTGAAGTACACCTTGGTTGTTTTCTTTCCTCCTTTCATGTCAAGCTATCAGAATGAACAGTTAAGAAATGGCACTTAACACATCAAGTGTTCATTAAAAGACACATAATAGTGATCTATACAAGATTCAAATATACACTACAGGCTCAAAAAGAGCCTAGCTAGTCTTGACTACACTTTATTATCAAATTGTAAATCACATTGTCACATCAAGAGAAATACAAAAACAATATGATTATCATCATATATTTGATATAAATGAAAAACACTAGAGCCAATTAATATGTAGTGAAACAGATGACAGAAACTGAGATATATGTAGAAGGACAAGTCAAGCAATTGTATCTGTCACATGGTGGCAAAGTAGATGATTCAGAGAAATTGCAACAAAATAGTTCATAGTCTCAGTACAGGGCATTATCATGTTAGTTTACACATCACTTAGAGCATTAATAAGCCCCTGCTGTAGATCCCCTGTTGTATAGTGATAAAGCATACAAGAAATAGTAACAAGAGACAGTGCATGTGCCTTAGTTCCATGGGGCCCTCAAATTAAGTCAGGCCGATTAGCAAACATCTAGTTAGAACATACAACTCATTTTCAGAGGCAATGTGACCATTTCTAAAAACAGAAATAACATCAATGAAATGTTCATACGAACAAAAGTGGAATGTCTGACATGTCTGCTGCTGTGCTTGAGCTCCATTTTCCATTACATCCTTTGCGCTAAGAGGCTTTCATATAAGCCTTTCATTTTCAGGCTCAGCTGGCTGAATGATGGACGATGAGTTTTCCTGAAAAGGATTAAAGGTAAAGATAAAACAAAGGTAAAATTTATACCATCACATTGTATGTCACCTGGATATGTAGGCAATGAAATATGTCAACAGTTGCCGTCAACATTGCTCTTCAAATGTATTAGTCAATTTCGCAGGTCAATGCTCATGCTGTTGATCACTGAATTGTCTGGTCCAGACTTGATTATTTACAGACCGCTGCCATATAGATGGAATATTGCTGAGTGTGGCGTAAAACTAAACTCACTCACTCACTCAAACGTATTAGTATTTAGAACAAATGTTACAGAGATATAAAACTAGCTGTTTTGTATGTTTCCACCTGTGGTCTCACAGCAAGCATCATAGCTTACTTGATCCATGACATCATACACACAACATGGGTGCACCACAACTCGTCAGATCATGATGTCTTTCAGTACAGCATAGCACAACCTAATTTGGTCAGAGAATGAGCTAGTTGCCACGATTTACTTTGACAATACAGTGCACTTCTACACCTTAAGTTCACAACTGCAGGTCAGGAGAGATGTTACCCTGCACAAGTTTTTCCAGTGGTGTTGTCATCACTTGTCATCACTGAAGTACGGGGAATGAACTTGTCAGGTTGTGACGACATGATAGGTTTCACCCCAGAATGATCTGAATCAGCTGATATGGGAATCCCGATCTGTCAGTCTGTCTGACTACTAGTAACCTCAGCAAGTCCTTTATTTGGTTTCCTGTCAGTGAGACTGAAGATCTGTGTAATGAGTTCTCCGGGAAACCTCTGTAGATCTGTATCGGATCTATGTGGTTGACTCCAGATGTATCACCAACTTGCACATTGTAGTGCAGTGAGCCCTTGATCCACCTATCCCCTCACAATAATTTCTGATTAAACATGGTTCAATCACCTGGAACTCATAGATGGTGCTGTCCTGTGTCCATTATGTGTCTCCCTCAGTTTTTATTGTTTGTGTTGAACATGCTTGTCCAAATCAGGACACAGAAAATCTAGCCTTGTGTGCAGCTTTCTTCCCCAGAAAAGTTCACCAGTCACAGTTTGCAAGCATCTGTTTAACTGGAATAGGATCTGTACTGACCATAGTCAGTGTGGATTCTTTCAAAAGCATTTCACCAGTAAGACCATGGTTGCAACAGTGAAACTAGTGGAACATGCGGTTGCATCAGGCAAACCTCACAGCCACGAGCATTACTCTCTATCCACTTGTATACACCTAGGTATCAAAGGTAACTTGCGGGTGACAGTCTTCATTCTGACTAAGCCACTGTGGTTTTCATGCAACTCTTGTAATACTGTGGGCTGGTATGACTACCCTTATTCCCCAGAATAGAAATCTCTGGTCTACCTGCAGCTCTAGACAATGTATCAAGTGAGGCTGAAGTTCATCGTCATCCATGTGATTTGGCTGGCCTCTGCAGGTGTACCCCAGTACTCTTGAAATCTGCTTCAATGATCTTGGCAAGTTCAGTGTGTAGCGTAGTTTATTTTTGCATCTATTTCTACAGTTACTTTAATGTGTTCTTCTGACTTGTGACAATTACTTTCGCAGTTGTGCACCTTGAGGATAAGCACTCATCTTTGAATTCTATCGGGTGCCAGAGTAGGAATTCATATTTTCGGTCCTAAGATACTTGTCAATGGCTTTTGGGCTGTTATCAATGTGAAGTTCCTTCCATATCAATATTAATGAAGCTTGATTTTTAGCTGGGTATAGTGGTCTCTGAGTTTGTCAGTGTTTGTCATGCATAAGCCACTGGTCAGTCAAATCCATCCTCCATACTGGTCTGTAATCAGAGGCCAATGTATGATGAGAGTAATAATGGACAAAGATACAATCACTTGACAGTTCTGTGTTACACCTGAAAGCCTCCACTTCTTCTGTATTCCATTTCCAGTGTGTACAGTGGAGACATAGACATGTCTATGCTTCTTATGTACTTCCCATAGTAATTCACCATTGTGATGAATGCGATGTCTAAGGTACTCAGTGGGGCAAGTCATGAATCTGCACTTGATCAGCTTGAGGTCTTCCGCTTCCGTACCCATCAGGATATCATCCAGCATAACTTCAAGCCTTCAAGCATACATTGGAATATTGCAGGAGCTGTTGAAATTCTGAATGACAACCATTGATACTCATACAAGCTTTTATTGGAGCTGTTCTCTGACAGTCCAAGCTGTTGGTATGCACTTGATAAGTCAACCATACTAAACCTTTGCTCTTGATAGGTTGGAGAATAGATTCTCCGCTGTTGGCGTGGTGTATACCTTGGTTTCGAGTGATGAATTTACTGTCACTTTGTAGTTCCCACATACGCACATGACTTGTCAGATTTGGGACAATCACATTTGGGGACGCCCTATCAGAACATTAAGTTTTCTTCATCATATTGTCCTTAAACGCATATGTATCAGACTGTACCAGGCTGACAGGCTTGAAATTCTTTCTTTTTCAAATATCCCTTGTACTTTTCCATAATATTCTCAACAGACTTGACTGCCTGCATGGTGTAGCGGTTGGAGCATCTGCCGAGAGAGCGGAAGGTCCCGGGTTCGATCCCCGGCCACGTCATACCAAAAGACGTTAAAATAAGGTACTTGTTGGTCCTTTCCTGGTGCTTGGCATTAATGGGTACAACAAGGACTTGTCCTTTCCGAGTCAGTATAATGCATCTGAGCGGGGTATTTATGCTCAACTGTGGCATGGTATCTCAGTGAGCTAGCACTATAAACCAGCTTAAGTCTGGGCTAGAACAAAATTAAACAGCCACACATACACATGCATGCACGTCCTCATATGAGCGAAATAATCTTAAGCGCGACGTTAAACCCCATTTCATTTCACCTCACCTCAACAGACTTGATAGATCCCTCATTAGAAATGAGTCCTTCAGCTACACAAACACTGTTTCATTTCATGTTGAAACTTGCCAACCAAACTCATCCAAGGAGTGGCAGTTTCCTTCCTTCTGCAACTCTGAGAGGTAACCTCTTTGTCATATCCTCATACTGTACATGCACCTTGATTTCACCTAGAATCGCCATCTGATCTCCGGAATAACTTCTCAGTTTCATGCCTGATCTTTCAAAGGCAAGTTAGAAAATTTCTTCTTGTATATTGTCTCTCCAATCCAGTATCTATGGTGAATTCCTGTTCTGTCCCTCTAGAGATACAATAGTTCTATATACACTTCTTCTAGCCACATCAATGGTAGCATAGACTGTGCACAGATATTCCTCTTTTTCATCATCCTCATTTTCATTTTCATCTATTTCAGCAAGATATGGCTGTCCCTTGCGCTGACCTCTGTACTGTCTCTTTCCACTCTTTTGGCCCTATTCTCTTAGAAGTGTTGGTGTGGTCTGCTTTTTACAGGGTCTAGCAATATGTCCTATCCTGCCTCATGAATCACTTTATATATGTAAGTAAGTATCTCTCAGCGTAATGCAATGCACTGCATTGAAAGCACATACTTTTGCGTGGCCCTGTCTTTCCAATCTTCTATGTTTCACCATGTTCACCTGTTCTGAGGACTGTTGTGGTTTGAATGACTGTATATCCTTACTCGCCCTTTCTACTTGAATAGTTATTTCACATGATTTCTACCAAGTAAATTCTTTGTCTGTTGACAACTTTTCTGAATGTGTTCATTTTGTAACTGTGCTACAAGCTTTTCTCCATTGACTCAATTATTTTAATGCAAATATGTATTCTGGCACAATTTCAGTTGGTGTTTTCTTTTACTGAATACATACCTATCACATTTCTATGATTTCTTACTCTATTTCATCAATACAAGAAATTTGGATATTGGAGTGGATATTGAAGAGGTGTGGTGTTTCACAGTGATTTCACAGCTGCAGACTATTATAACAACATCACACAAATAGTTGCAAAATGCTTCAGTAAGCTATATTCACTCTTTCAATAACAGCATGGAAATACTAGTAATCTGATGGTTGTCCTCAGGTGACATTGTTTAACACACATCCATCAGAGTGACTTTCTGCAGAATCCTGCACACATGCATGCACATGTTGATGTATTTTCCTGTGACTAAAGATGCCATTACTACCTTATAGCAATACAGAAAGACAATAAACTAGTTGAAGTTGTAATGTGGATTAATCATGCAACAGACCAACTACAGATCCAAATCAACGTTTTGTGCAAGTGCGCAAGTTAACTTTATATGTACTATCAAAACATTCTTACAGTTCACATAAAATATTCATGTGCCTCAAAAACACTATTCAATGTGTCATTCTAAGACATTATGTGACGCAAGATCTTACCATTTGTATACCCAAACCCAACAAATAATGCCAAGTCCTTTATATCCCATAAGCAGGTGTTATTTTTAATTCAAGAAAATGCCTACTCAAACTTCCAGCATTCCATCATGATCTCATATGCTTCATCACAACATGTTTCTGGCTTTTCCAGGCGACGGCCATCTTGCAGGAACTCAAGAATTGCTTGACCTTTCATTTTCTGCAACAAATTAAATGATTGAGTAAAATGTCTGTGAAGTCATCCACTACAGCTGTATTACAGTGGTCATAAGGGTGAGCAAGGATCCATATAAGCAAGTTCAAAACAAACAAGTACCATTCCATCACTTACCAGCCATTTTGGCCACCTCATCTCCAATTTTGTTTGTCATATGGGACGAAGATAAACTTCAAGACAACACAAAGCTGCCCTGAGGGAAGTCCAGTGCCTCAAATCAAATAATTGAATCTTTTAAGGTAAGATAAGAAAATGGTTATCTATTTCTTGCAACATTGAAAATCCAGGCCCCTGATTGGCTGGAGAGTGTCCCCGCCATGTTCACTTGTCTTAACATTTTGCTCCTATATTCCAGGTAATTATGACTTTATTGCATCCACTGAAATATATATTTGTTTGCCACATGCTGATGAACACAAATGTATATAAGTTATGTAACCTGAAACTGTGTGTACTGTAAATTTAGCGATTTTTGCAATAACGCTGTCTCGCTGTGTTTTTACCCGCCATCAACAAAAGGGCTATTTCAGTAAATATTTTGTGTTAGAGTGAGTATATCAGCAGTGTATTATCATGGAATAGTAATTCATACGAAAATTCATTATTAATTATAACCACTACAAGCGATATATTAGGATTCAGATATTAGGAAAATATAAATATAGAATGTTAGTTTCATCATGTATCAGTAATAGCTTAGAGAAAGACTCCAGTCAAAAGTAGTAAAACTCATCTCACAGACATACTATTTGAAAATGGTGTAAATTACAGCTGCACAATTTCACAGATGTTCAAGATAAAATCCTAGCCTAAGGTATCAAGAACTCAGGACAAGGGTTATGTTAATGTTCTAATAACAATACCAATAGAACACAGACTAACACTTTCAAAAATGTTATGTCTGGCACTCACAGGAAGGAAGTGAGGAATCTTCCTACTGGGTAGGTGAGATGCTCTTACTACCACAACTAATTGTGAATTGTTGACAAAGGATGACTTCTGTTGAAAGTCTGAAAATTTAGTTACAGTGTGATGGCAACCAAAACAGCAGTATGGCAAATATTGAAGAGAGATTATTGATGAATCATATTCCTCTAAGGGAGAAAGATGAGGATGTAACTGTAATTCATCTCTTAAACTACTATATTTTTGTAAAGCATCATAACATGTGATATACTGAAGCTGGGTCTGGATAACTGAAAGTATGACATTTTCTTCTGTACCAACTTACATGATATGGCTTCTTTCCAAATGATAAGGCCTCCCATAGGGTGACACCATAGCTCCAAACATCAGACCGAGAATCGAACTTGAAGTAGTAAATGCACTCCGGAGCATACCACTTCAGTGGCCATTTCCCAGCCTCTGAGGCCTGAAAAGAACAATTGTTAATAACATTTGAAAGACTTGTCTTTTTGTTTGAATGATAAATGTACCAGTATGTAAAATTACTTTCAGGTGTGAGGATCAATATCTGATGTATATCCACTAGGGTTGGGTAATCTCAAACAATCTGTATTACGATATATTGCGATATGAGCTGGCATTTTGAGATATGTGTTGCAATATTTTGTGAAACATGTAAATTTTATTTTGACCATTGAAGAAATTTTGTAGTTTACAAATTGTTTTAATTCTTTTTATTCATTTCAGACTGTTGTGCATTTCAGGGTGGAGTGAAAATTGATACAACACTTACAATACAATACAACACTGGAGATACATGCTGCATGACAGTCATCTACTGTAGGTTCTCTAAGTGTACAATTAATCAAATTGTAAAATTTGGCAATCCTGTTGTTTTTCCTGGCTATGTATCTTTCGACTATTACAATATCCCGTAAGTAGTATGAATTCTGAGATATGTAAAAGTTTCTTATTAATACCAGAGGTAAATATAAATCTTCTACCAGCAAGTATAATGTTGTTGATAAAATAATAGCCAGTATTAAGTCTCAACAGGATTGTGAAATTTGTGAATACCAATTCAAAATTAAGAATGTTTTTAAGAAACACTCTTAATTTATTCCAAAATGTCTGTACATATTCACAAGAAATAAAAACATTGACAATATCTTCAGGTTCTGTTTTGCAATATGTACAAATATTTCTATCTACTTATAAATTTCACTTTCATTAACTCTCTTTAGGTATATATAATCTTATTAATAAACCTGAACTGGAAATCCAATAACTTAATATCACATGTACATTTTCTATAGTTAGTGAAAATATTACCCCTTGGTAATGAAATAGTAATCAAACTGTCCCACTTGCTACACACCTTGGGTAAAACATCAGTTTTTGTCTATTTGTCATAAAACATTCTACATCCTTTGGAGGATACGAGAAGAGAATATACCGGTACTGCATGATCACTAGATATTGGTTTACAAATTTTGCATTACTGACAGCATCTCTCTGGGATATTTTTCATCACCCTGTTATAGTCTAAGAATGTTCCTCTAACTGGATATCTGGTCTTGAAATCATCAAACGACAATAGACTATTAGAGTTACAGAGGTCTTTTATTCCGTTATCAAACCAATCTTTTATAAATAGAGATGGATCTGAAAGCTGATGATTAAACCTGAGCGGTTCAGAAAGTATTTTGGAAATATCATTCTGATCAGCAGTAAAAAGACAGGTATATCTCTTCCATGCTTGTCCACATTACAAAATTGGTCTGCATTACCCCTAATACTTGCAAGTTGTCCGATGGGAACATTACACAGGTTATTGTAACTTTCATTCTTAAAACATCTCTTTATTGAGGATATTTTCAATGCATCAGTAAAGGACTTTATATAAATAATTCTAATTCCCCCGTCCCCACAATCCTTTTTTAAATTTACTCTTTTTATCTTATCCGGTTTACCATTCCAAATAAAAAGTTTCTCAATTGTCAATATCATCAATAAAACGTTTTGGAGGATTAGGGAGAGGTGTAAAAATATGAACTAGAGTGGATACAGCCAAAGTTTTTATAACAGTAATCTTACAAAGAATAGTCAACTTCCCTTTCCTCCAGTTTCTAAGAATGTTTGATATAGCTTTTAGTCTTTTCCTTGTGTTAATAACCCACAGATCACTAAAGTTAACGTATAAAATTATCCCAAAGGTCTCAAAGTTTCCTGTTTGCCAATCTAAACCATACTCACTGCAAATCATATCCTGGCTATTTGCCATAGCTCCAATCAATAAAGCTTTTGCTTTGTCAATGTTTATTTTTAATCCCGACATCTTAAAAAATAAAGTGAGGGTATCCATAGCAGCCCTTAGGCTGATTTCAGAACCATTAAAAAAAAATGGGTGTCATCTGCATAATGACCTAGTATATAATCCTTGCAATTCAAAATAACACCCTTAATATCTACATTTTCATGAATCATGATACCTAAGATCTCTGCTACAGAAAAAGATAAGGTGAGAAGGGATCCTCTTGCCTACAACCTCTGTTGTTTGGAAAGAATTCAGATAGAAGCCAATTTTGAATATTGCAGGAGGTAACATTTTTAGTGAGAATTGAGATCCATCTAAAGATATTTAGGCCAAATCCAAATTTTTGTAATACCTTATTTACAAATGATTTTGAAACAGTATCAAAGGCCTTTTCAAAATCAATCAACAATAAAAGGCCTGTTTTATTTTGTTTTCTGGTTTCAAACAATACATCATATAGTAGTCTGATGTTTTCACTAATACATCTCCCAGGAATAAAGCCTGTTTGGTTTTCATGAATAAAATAGTCAAGTGAACGTTTCAATCTACTTGTGATACAGGTACTTATTATCTTATAAATACAGTTTAGTAGTGATATGGGGTGCCAGTTCTTTAAGTATTTTCTGTATTTTCCTTGTTTGGGTATGCAGGTGATAACTCCCCTATTCATCATCAAAGTTAGGCGATCATTTCCAAAAGATTGTCCCAAGTCCAGCCCAAAAAATTTGAAAGATTCTATAGAGTATCCATCAATACCTGGACTCTTGTTGTTTTTCATTGATTTATTGCTCTTAGGATAGGGATTTCTAATTAACTTTGAAAGATTTTGGAAGGGTTGGGGTATTTAGTTCTGAAAGAGACCAAGTAGTTTTTTGGTCATCCATACAGTCCTGCTCAGGGTCAGAATACAGATTTTGATAAAAAGCCTTTTGTTTGTCTAATATATATTTACCATCAGTGAAAATTTGATAACTTGAAACACAACTATCATTGCACAATGTCACATAACAACATTATCTTAAAATCCTTTTTGCTTTAAGTGTTCAAAAGATCTTCAGAATAATTATGGCTCACTTGAAAGTGAAAACACATAGGTAACTTGAAACAAGTTAATTTATCCACCACCCTCGTTCCTCTCTCAAATGTTTATATATGCCAATCAATGTGGGAGGTCAGGGTTTTGTCAGAAATTATGTTGTGTACCGGTACTTTAGCACATATTTATTTATAGGATGATCCTCTGGTGAAGACTCATGATGAAAACAAGGAATTCCACAGCTATTTTAACGGTGCCAAGGTTGTTGAACAGAATCTGAAATTTGTCATTTGTGGAAAAGCTTTTTGAGAAACCATTGCATCGTGTGTACATGCAGTGCGTGGAACAGAATAGCAAGCCAACTCCTTCGCCTGGATGAAGTCAGCAGATCGATAAATGTGAAACTGAGGGCTTTATTTTCGCTAATCAGGACCAGTCACTCCCCACTCACAATCGCCTAAATGTGATTCTTAAAGGTCACATGCAACAACAACAAAAAAAAACATAATTAAAACACAATTATCACTTATTCATGACATATCATATACATTGCTGATTATGAAAAAACCAAAAACAACAAATTATAAGCATACAATCGCAAATTAAAAGTGCAATATTTTGTACTTGGGTTTACTTCCCTCAAAATGAAGCATCTGGGATACCGAACCCAGTCAGAGCAGGTGGGCATGCACTCAAGTGTAACGAAATCTTTCATTGGCTGGTTCATTTGCCGATATACTCAGGGCTCTTTGTGTGTGTATAGAGATGTTGGGTTTTGTAAATACATGCTCATTTTTTGTGTATCATTTTGCAAATCAACAGACATCATAACATGTCATGTGTACAAGTATCACATCTGCCTGTCTGTGTAATTACATAATGTGACAGAAACAGAACTCGGGTGCACGGGCCATAAATCAATGTATAGCCTGATAGGTGATAAGTTCAAATTACATGTGGTCAGTGATCGAAGTTGTGTATTGCATATTGTCATTAGCAGACAGGCAGGCAGACACATAGGTGTCAATAAAACAGACATTGAGTTTTGTCTGTGACAGAGGCATATCTATATCACAGTTAGAAATTCTGACAATGCTAAAGAATGACGTTGCTTTTAAGTATCGAACGGAGAAAGTGACACAGTAAGAAGAACGTGTGGTGAAATAGTCAAATGAAAGTATATAAAAAGTTGATTCGGTAATCTCTTGTCACAACATATAAAAAGCTCGCGCCTGTGAAATAACAACAAAACAATTAGAAAATGTCAAACACCTCACTGGTTGACACATAGCTGAGTAGATCTACATCCTTAACAAGGTTCTTTTATGCAACGAGTAGATTATTTACTACATGTATTTGTTGTTTGTGTACACAACCAAGATTAGACTATTCCTGCTCAAAACCTTATAAGTCGGGCATCCTGCTTCAAGCTACGCGAACCCATTCACTGCGCATGCACTATGAGTGCAGCATAGAACAGCTGTTGAAACCACTTCTCACCCCAGCTGGGGTGAATTTAGTGAATCGTTTGAATTCTGATTTGGCAGGGGTTTTTTCATCATGTTATTTTTCAACTTAAAAAGTTGAATTTGATAATTTGTTACTGTAAGCCCATACCGAAAGGTATCAGAATCTGCAAAGTTGTGTTTTACGTTGCATGTGACCTTTAAAGAAAATATTAACATGAAATGTCGACTGTGTAACGAATTTGCAGAGACTGTCCAACACTCTCTCATTTGATGCCCTTCCTTGGCACAAACAGCATATCTTAAATGACATGATGGCATGGCTCACTGCTTCTATTATCGTCTTCGCCATGCTTGTGGCTTTGACTCCGAGGTCCATCCATGGTACGACACTGAACATGTCCAGGGCATCATGGAAAATGACAGCTTTAGACTTCTTTGGAGTAGGCCAATACACAGCCTCAGAGGAATTCCAGCCAACAAAGAAAATAAGATTATAGAGTCTTTCCACCAATTCATTTGCAAGACTAGTCGTTTCGATAAAACGGTCTAAACAAAATAATAAATAACAATTATCTTAACAAAAAGTAATGAAACATAACTGCAAGAGCATTGTTAAATACAATTCTCAATGCACATACGATGTT